CAGGAGCAGGCAGACACTGAACACCCTCCCCACGCTGATCTCACAGGACATTTGCTCCTCCACTGGCAGCTTCCCCTCCGCCGCCTCCCTCCCTGCTGGAACCCGGCTGAGGGATGCACTGAGAGCTGGCAAGGGCTTGCTGCTGGTGATGAGTGGGAGGATGGGGAGGAAAAGCCTCTGTGAACCCTCCTGGAGGGCTCTGGGCAGGAACCTGGCACTTCCCACCCCTACACCCAGTTCCTTTTCTCTTGGCAAGGTCCAGCCAAGTGTTTCTGGAGCGAGCTCCACTCTGCAGCCTTGTCTTCAACAACAGGGCTCAAAACACCTTCCCCTCAGACCCCTCCCAGAGGAGCAGAGCTCTTCTCCCTGAAGAGATTGCCCAGAATCTGCCTTTAGTATCTTTTTATTTTTTTCCCATTACTCCCAATTACTGCATAGGGAACAGCTTGTCCCTTCTGGTGTGAATGCTCACAGGAGCCCCTGCCTCTCCCTCAGCCAAGAGGTGCCATCAGAGATCCAAGCCCCTCCTCAGCACAGAGCAGCACTCCAGACATGGAGCACCTTCCTGGCTGCTCTTTTAATGTCTTTTGCTTCACCAGTAACATGGTGCTGCCTAGAAATGCCCAGGGCACTGTGGGAGCAGCAGGAGGTTCCAGTCCCCTGTCCTGTGCTCACCATGGCCAGAGTGGAACTGGTCCCTCTGAGCAGACTGCCACCAACACAAACATTTTTTGGTAATTCCTTCCCATGCTAAACCTTCTGGGTTATTGCAGACAGTTGGAGAATAACCACCCAACCCACCTGAGCCATCTCACTGGACACCCCAATGCCACCATTTATAGCTCAAGTCATTTCCAGAAGTGTCTCCCCTCTATTTTCAGTCATTCCCAAGTTCTGAGAGCATCTGCTGCAAATTCATTTGCAAAAGTCACAAAAGGGTCAAGACTCCCTGAGCTGCTGCTGGACATCATGTCTGCCCAGCAAGCACAGATAAACCAGTGCAGGTGGTTTGTGTGGACACTTAAACCAGTTCAGCTCAAAGTTCAACTGGCTTAACCAGCAATGAAGGAAAACTGAGTTAGACAAAACCTGAGCCCACAGTCAGCTTTCACAGAAAGTTTTGCAGATTGCAAAACCCACCCACAGCAGTTTCCTCAGCACAGACAGAGAGCTTGGACAGAAAGTTCACCTCCATCTCAACTCAACCCAGGTGCAAGACACCAGGTCCATCCTGCAAGCCAAACACAACCACTGCCTACTGAGAGGCAGGAGACAGCTCCTTCCTGATCTCCTGGCTGCTGCATCCACACAGAAACAACCTCCTCAAGAGCTCTGCCTCTATCCCACCCTCTTCAGTAACAAGGATGTTCAGACAGGCCCTTCCCTCTTGGGGTTCACCTGGTGGTGCTTGTTCCCACCTGAAGGTCAGAATGCTCTCAAAGCAAACTGTGAAGCCAGGAAGGGTCTGCAAGGTCAGGCACAGTCAGCAGCAGGAACAGGTGGGTGCCTGGAGGCCACAAACCATTCCTGCACCCTAACACATTTCACAAGGGAGATTAAAGAAAACCAACAAGCAGAAGGCAAGTTCTCAACATGACCCACCAGAGGATGATCCCAGTTCTGAGGACTTCTCCTCCCAGCTCAAAGGGAGCAGAACCTCACAGCAGCCCTGGCCAAACTCAGAGCCTCTCCTGAGCAGTGTCCCAGCCCAGGACCAGCAGTGCTCCCTACAGCACCCTGGCTGCTCCTCACCTCCGGGGCACCACAGAGCAGGAACAGAGAGCTTCCAAATTTCAGACCTTGGTAAAGTACTTTTGCTCCTCAGAATGTGAATTCAAGCCTGGAAGAAGGAAGAGGAGCAAAAGTTTGGCATTTAAGGTAATTGCATGTGCTCCAGATGTGCTTCTCTGCTTTTACTGAGGCCCAAGTGACCCAGAGAGAGCCTGGAGCAGGCCCAGCACAAACAGCTCCAATGAGCTGGGCACCCTGCAGCCATGTGCAAGTCAGGAAAAGCTGCACCTTCCTGCACTGAGTCTCTGGAGAAGGGGCTGCCCAAGCAGCCCCTCTCCTCACCACCTCTGAGAATGCTCCACTTTAGGCCTTTAGGTTTTCTCTTGCTTTTGCAGCTGTTGAGTTTTTAAGTCTTTGGGAGAATCTCATCTGCCTGACATCACTGCTTAACACCCATCATTAGTGCAACTACAACTGAAGTTGCCTCAGAGGGGCAGTTTTTGGGATGGGGGAGAGGGCCAGTCCATCCCTCTCTTTGGTCAGCACCACCAGAAGACCCCAGTTCTGGTGCCAAACCCACAGTGTGAGAAGGGAAAGGGGAGGTGGGATGGGAGGTAGGGGTGGCTGTGGCCTTCCTGCATGCATGCCCTCAGTCTGCACCACTGCTGGGCACAAATCCCTGCACTTTGCCCAACTCTCAGCTCCAGGGATTTACAGCTGTGCTAACTCTGCTCACTTCTCACCCTTGATGCCTCATACAACGTGAGCCCAAGTTCACAAATTCCACAGAAATCATCTACATGTCCCTTAGCAAAGGAGAGCTGGGGGCTGGAGCTCTCTTTCCAAAGGAATCCAAGAGCTTTGCATGTTCCCCTGAGCATCAAAGAGTTCCCAGGGTGTCAGGTGAGCCTCACAAAAAGGTGTAACGTGCCATTAGGAGAAGGAGCTGCCAATCCTGATCCCTATGCCATCAGCTGAGCTGTGTGGTACCCTCTGTGCCCACAGCTAATCCTGTTTGGAGCCACGTGTTCCTGCTGTCAGGTACCAGTGGGCCTGGCACACATCTCACTCACTCAGGGTTCATTTCTGTCTGCCACAGGTTTCTCCTGCCCTGAAAACTGCTGTGCTATCACTGGTGGCTGGGCATGCAGGATTTGTACAGGAGAAAACAAAAGCAGCAAGAAGGAAAGCTGGCCCTACAAGCAACCCCTCCATCAGCCACTGACAGGGAAATCAGGAGTCCAGGAGCCTCTGCCTTGGCAGCTCCTGTTCATGTGGCAGGCTGTGTGCTTTAGGCAAAAACTTAACATTTTAGGAGACAATGGTTTTGGTCTGATGGCAGTAACAGTGCTGAGAGGTCAACCCAAACACCAGCCTCAAGGCAATGGAAGGCTGAAAGGGCTGGAAAGGGCAAGAGAGCTGGTGCCAAGGTCTGTCCTTGTGAGCCTGGCGTGGGGAAGGGTCCAGTGTGCAAACTGTGCCCCTGAGTGCTGTGGCAGTGCAGTGTCAGGGAGTGCCTGTGAGGTTCAAGGCATCTGCACACAAAGCCTGAGAGATTGGGTTTGCTATTTCTCATGTCTTGCAACTTGCACCTTCTCCTACAGCCAGAGCTGGGCAGGTGGGATCCTGGTGTAACATCTGCTCAACAGCAGCACTGCAGAGAGGGTCTCCAGTTTCCCCCTGCATTGCCAGCCACCAGCAAACTCCCTGTGCTGCTGAAGGGCTCCAGCCTGCTCTCAGCAGGACCAGCCCCTCCTCCTGACCCTCCCACACCACTGGGACCACAGCTCCAGAGCTCCTGGAAGCACCAGAGACTGATGAAAATAGAAGAATTTGCTTCAGTTTTCCTCCAGGAGACAAGTCCCAGCAGTGAAAAATGCAGTTTGGCACCAGAGGTTGGGAATTGTCCAAGAGGCACCAAAGCTGGCAGAGCCTGTCCAGCAGCCCAGGAGCTGTGCCTGCAGGAGCTCTGGCCTTGGGGACAGCAGAGTGACCGAGATGGTTTGGGGTTATGGGGATCTCTAATTGCATTTGGGGTGAGCCAGTTCCGTGTGAACGTTTCGGGGCCCGTGGCCTTCCTGGCCAGAACAGGTCAGCAACAGAACAAGTAGTGTAATGCACTGTAGGTATCAAAAAGACATTCGTGCCACTAGAGGAAACCATTCCAAACAAAAAGGGGAAGATATTCTTTGCACTCAATCAGGAGCACTTACATTCAGAAGGATCTTTGAGCCCATGCACTTCTCTAAGCTTCCTTCAAACCCCAGTTTGACAAAACTGGTGAGCTTTGTTCCCCTGAAAAATCATACACCTTGGTTTGTCCTTGGCCTTGGGAAGGGTGGTTTGTGTGTCACTGAGACACTTTTCAACAAAAATCTTTAGGTACAAGGGTTCTCTGGCAGACCTGACAAGCTCACTGGTGACCCACAGCCACCTGTGCTGTCGCCATTTGCTTTTCTTGGTTTCTAGGCTTTGCCACATAAACAACTGCTGTGGTTCCCATAAGAACATTATTAAATTGCAAATGGACTACTCTAGAACAAGTCTGAGAACACTTGATGTACAAAATTCACAGAAAAGATAATTAACACCGGGAGTTCAGAAAAAAAGTTCTGCTGTAAAAAAATATAAAGCCAAGAAACGTAACAACTTCTGACAGTTTCTGCCATGAACCATTTCTCTTAGTTTGAAATCAAACTTGTAATCACTTGCTGCCATGTTAAACTCAAAACTAGGAGTAAAGAAAGAGGAGTAACTTTTGGTTTTTGGAAAAAAAAGGATATGGAAAGGTTAAAAATAAAATTAAGAATCAAAAACCTTAAAGCCTCCCTTCCTGATTTCTAAAGATGCCGATGTTGATGGAACACAGCTGCCCTGATTCACGCACCATGCCAAGAAGGCTGCAGCCAAGTGCCCTCAAGGTGTACAGTTATTCAAAGGAGCAAAGTCCAGTGCAGAACTGGTCTGGTCAATGGAGTCTGATTATCCATGGCAAGATGGCCCAGGGGACAAGAGGAAAGGTGGGGTGGAGGAGAAACAAAAGAAACTTCAAGTCACTTTAGATCTCAGCTGCCTGAAGACTTTAGAACATCAGCCTCCCATTCGTCTGCCCACTTGAAAACATTAAAAAGTCTGTCAAGTCCACACACTATCTATGGAAAGGAGCACATTCCTGGCAGAGGGCTGTCTCTCTCCTGTGCTCAGCTTTCCTTTCAAACTTAATTTTATATATATTTATATTTTTATATATATATAAAAAAGCACTTGGTTTCCAGGGGCATTCATAATGAGGTCCACAGTGTTTAGAACTTAAATTTCTTTTTCTTTGTTTGGAACAGTGTTTTAAAGTTTTGTTTTAATTAAAACAAAGTCTTAAAGCATGTTGGACTTCAAAAACATGAGTTTGTTCATGTCTTCTGGACTGAGTAGCCGCCTCCTTTTGATCAAGAGTGCCTGCTCACACATATTTACACATTCGCTCCTGGCACCCACAGCAGGCACTGCTAAGAGCCAAAAGGCCAGCTTGGCTAGTTTCGTATGCTTTTGGGTAACACACGACCAGTACTGAAACAGGTCAGGGGTGGCCTGGAAGAGAGGTTCTTGCAAATAATCATAGACTTCACTTTTCCCAAACCAATCTTCTTCCTGAGCTGTTGCGGCCTCCCCTGCTGCACGAGGCTTCTTGGTTGAAGGTTCAAATTCTGCTTCTTCTGCCCAGGACTCTTTCACCTCATTGATGAGCTCACAGACCTTGCCAATGATCTCTTCGTGCTGGTAGGGCGGGACGGGCCGCAGCTTCTGCTGAGGGTCCAAGATCATGGCTACCTTGTGTGCCGAGTGAACTTTGAAGTTCTCCTTCAGCGCCTCCAAGAAGAGGTGACAGAGTTTGCTGACCACGCCAGCATCGTTGGCTTTGGAAGTGAAGAGTTTCTCCAGTTTGACGTAGGTGGGCAGCACCAGCTGCAGCGTGGGCCGGCTCTCGTTGCTCAGCTCGATCACGGCCTGTTTCACCGGCGCCAGGATGGCTGCCAGGTTGCTGAGCAGGTGTTTGTTCAGGTTTTGGATGAGGTTCATCTTCTTGGCCCTGCTGTAGAACTCGCAGATCTGCTCGTAGCGCTCGTGGACGAGCAGCAGGGAGTCGGTGACCGAGTTCCAGCAGGGCGGCGGGGAGGTCTCTTCCAGGGAGCCAAAGGTCTCCTTTGAGAGGCCCGTGGACCCCGCCAGGTCTTCACAGACATTCAGGAGCTCGATCACCTCGTGCATGTTGCGAGCCTGTAGCGTTCTCTTGTTGAGCACGCTCTGCACCACCGAGTTCAAGGCACAGGCCGAGCAGCGCAGGCACATGCCCGCCTTGGAGAACGCCGAGGAGTTGACCTTGCAGTCTGTCACGTACACCGTCCTGATCTCCGACATCACAAACTCCGACAGCACGTTCTGCACCCAGTGGTGGATGAAATCACCGTTGTCTCGAAGGTCCACGCCCTTAATGCCCAGGACGTAGCTCTTGATGTGGTTGCCTTCCACCTGGTAGGCGGTGAGGATGTAGCAGGAGTCGGGGCCTACGCTCTGCGAGTGGCAGGTGACCCCGATGCCGAGGCAGGCGTTGCTGCCCAGGGCGCAGGTGACTTTCACCTTCACCTGGTTGTACATCCGAGGCAGGTGCTTCAGAGCCAGGGTGTTGAAGTTGCCCAGGATCTCGGTGACGGAGAAGGCACCGTAGCGAGCCCCGCTGTCCACCAGCGTCTGCGCCAGCTTGATGAACTCCTTGCCGCTGAGCACGCTGAGCGCGCCCAGGTCGGTGCACATGACCCGCAGCAGCCTCTCGGCGATGTTCTGCCGCTCCTTCTCCGGGATGGCGCTGTTCCCCAGAGAGCCGCTCGCCGGCGCTGCAGGGAAACACAGTGGGCACAGAAAGGGCCAGGTCAGCATCACCGCAGCAAGAGACAGCAGGGGACAAGGCACAAAACAATTCTCAGAGACCCCCAGAAAGGTGTAACATGCCCAGATGATGGAAGAGACAACTCCATCCTTGGATTTGTTCTCCCAGGGGTTTCTGGACTGAGGAACCTCCAGAGACAGGCCCTGCTCTTGACAGAGCAGCAGGGAGGAGATATGCATCCTGTCCCTGGTGTGGGGATGGTCACAACTCAGCCCAGATGGAAAGATGGACATCAAATCACAGATTCCCAGACTGGTTTGGGTTGGAAGGGACATTAAAACCCATCCAGTCCCACCCCTGCCATGGCAGGGACACCTCCCAGTGTCCCAGGCTTCTCCAAGCCCTGTCCAACTTGGCATTGGGCACTGCCAGGGATGCAGGGGCAGCACAGCTGCTCTGGGCACCTGTGCCTATGTCACACCATGATGACTGGATTCGTTTTTTAACTCCAGGCCAGAAAGTCTGACCTTGGATCAGAAGTTACCTTCTTCCTTGAGCTACCAAATGCATCTTCCTCACAAACCTTTCCAACCACCCCAGGGTTCTTTGTTGCACTCCTGTAGTGGGAAGGGGTACTCTGCTCTTCTGTGTAGGACATGATTTAAGGTGAAATCAAATACAGTTTGGTGAGGACAAGGGCCTGGTGCAGTGTCCATCACTGCTGCTCCCCTGAGGCACCTGTTGGACAGGGACAAAGTGAGAAGCTGCTACGTACTGTTGTTGGCGTTATTTCTTTGGAGCTGTGGCTTCCACTTTTCTTCAACCACAGGGAGAGGTGACCTGGGCTGCTGGCTGGAGGCAATGTTGTTCTCATTGTCAGCTGCAAGGCAAGAGACAGGGAGGGGTTAAAAGCACAAGATAATGCTTAAAGCACAAAGAAGAGGAAACTACTCAACTGCTCAGCATTTATGTAGGGCTCCTCTAACTAAGGGGACAACAACCCACCACACTCTCTGTGGCTTTTAGGCAGCTTTCAGTGAGCTCTCACAGCCCCCTCAGACACCTTGAAACTTTGGACTCACAACCTATCACCTCCCAAAACGTGGCTGAAATGTGCGACGTCTTCCTGTGCACCAGGGATGTTGATGCCATCAGCACACCCTGGGGAATGTCTCCTCAGGAGCTGAAGCTGCACACCAGGAGCAATGGAAGCTCAGCCTGCCTTGTGCCATTCATTTGCTTCTGAAATGATGTGGAACAGACACTGACCCTTCTGTCCCCTCCCTGCCTCTTCCTGCACTGCAGGTGGCTGCCCTGTTCTCTCTGGGAAGCACTTTGGTTTGCAAGCTGTGCTAAGCTCTTCTGGATCCAAGGGTCTCACTGCAAACTTCAGGTCTGGTTTCTTCCCTGTGAAGAGCAAGGGCCCATCTCTTCTGGGGCTCACTGCTGCCTCAGGCTGCAAACACAAAGCCAAAGTCTCTGGAGTGTGGGCCAAAGACCATCTGACCTTGAGGCTGCAGACACCAAGTGCCCCCAAAGCCTTTGTGTTTGTGCTCCCATTTCTGTGTGTGTAACTGGGCTAAACATTCTGGCTGCCAGTCTGATGGGATCTTACAAGAACATGCAAGCAAGATCAGTAAAGTCTGTATTGTATCCATGTTTTCCTCTCCTGTGTCCCAAGAACTTCTCCCCACCCTCCAGAGGAAATTCTCTAGTTCTTAGTGTGCTTCAGTATGAAATGGTGCTGTGAAACAGGCTGTGAAGGAACAGTGCACAGTGAAATGGGCTGGAAAAGGAAGCAGAAAGATGGAGAGACTGATGACCAGGCTGAGCAGAAGGATGGAAATAAAACCAAGGAAAACAGAACAGGCCATTTGCTCATCACAGCTGGACTCATCACACCTAATTTTGGACAACTGTCAGACACACCTCTCTTTCAGGTGGCCCATTAGGGCTCCTTTTACACTCAGGGGTGCCACTCATTCACCCAGGCAGAACTGGATCTTCTCCTAGAGTGAGAACCACCATGGTGAGAACCACCTGAACTCACCTGGAGTCACTGACTCTCCAGTGATTTTACAGGGAGTGCAGATTGCCCAGCTCAGGTGGCAGCCCCTGCAGCCTGGGGACAGCAGCACAGAGAGCAGTGACCCTGCCCTGTGCCCTGGGCAGAGAAACACGAGTTGGAGCAGTGCCTTGAGGCACCCACAGCTCTGCCAGGCTGCTCTGGGGGCAGCAGGACACACAGGAGAGGGCAGAGCTGCTCTTGCTCTCCTCCATGTGTGCCAGCAACCTGGGGGAGCAGGGACACCAGCAGGGCTGGGATGGAGCTCCAGTGCTGTGCTCCTTCCAAGTCCTCTCCAGGGTGAGCAGCTCTGCCCTTCACTGCCAGGCACTCCAGAGTGCCCATCCACAGGCACAGGCTGCTCAGTGGGCACTGTGGGCACTGCACTGGCACAGGCTGGGGCAGTCCCCCAGAGCAATCCAGGACATGACAGAACATGACCCAGGACAGCCTCTGGCCCTGCCTGGGCCTGTGTGTGCCTGGGGAGCTCCCTGGCCAGGCTGGGTACCCAGGGAGTGCTGCCATGCTTAGCTGCAGCCACAGGCTGGCCTTTGCAGGTGTGCAGAGACTGAAGAGCACGAGGGGCCTCAGAGGGCACCAGTGACCACGGGGGACAGACACATCACCTTTCCCCCAGCATCTGCCACACTAACTGCTCTTGAGCCAATGCCACCATTGTCCTCAACTCCAAACATCTGTGGGTGGGCAAAGGAAAATGCTGGATAACTTTGCCTGCCAACTTTGCTCATAGTTCAGGCCCTCCTTGTCTTGGTGAGAGATGGGTAGGGGGAGAAACCCTCTGTATTTCCTCACCATAACTCTTTTATCTATTTCCTAATAATAGGGGATTTATTATATACAAATATCTGCTGGCATTCAGAGTGGCATTAATGAGATTTGTACATTTCAGCCTCATCTTCCTTATCAGGCAGTCTGTGAACTACACAGATCATGGTTCTTAATTTTTCTTCATGCCTCCAATCCTTTAATCCAGGTTCAGCCTAGTCCTCCTTTTGTTTTTTTAGGCCTAGATTGTAGGAAGGGCTTTATATGGCAGCACTCGACCTGAACAAAGTACTCTAAAGGGAGTCAAAGCTGTATATTGTTCAGTGTAATTACAGAACAAATTCCTCTGCCTGGTGTTCTGTTCTATTTCTGCCTTTCAGCACCCAATTTACATTCTAATTGCTTCTCCTCACTGTGTAGCTGCTTTATGAAGCTATAATCTCTCCTTATTACCTTCCAGCCTCCGGGCTCAGCCCTCTGAATGACTCAAGAGCCAGTATGTCCCTGATTTTGCTTCTGGAGGCCAGCAGCACGTTCCCTGGCTTCTGTCCCTCGTGAGAAGGGTCCAGGGGAGGCAGCACAGCCTCTGGAAGAGATCAGCCCTTTGCATTAGACAGGACAAAGCAAACTGGGCTGCTGAACACACGAACTGAGGGAGCATTTGACCCATAGTGGCCTCTTGGCTCTCTGCATCCTAAAATGAAACATTCCCTGGCCAGGGACAAACCAGTGCCATGCCTGAGTCCCCAGTCCCTGCATCCTGTGCCACCAGCACTGCTGACCACTGCAAGGCTCCTGCACTCCCAGACTTCAGAGATGTTGGGGCAATGCTGCTTCTTGGATATGGAAACCCCAGAATCCCAGACTTGTTTAGGCTGGAAAAGACCTCTAAGATCATCCAGCCCAACCATCAGCCCAGCCCAAGCACCACATTCACCACTGGCGCCCTATCCACGTGTTCTCTGAGCATTCCCAGGGATGGTGACCCCACCCCTGCCCTGGGCTCAGGGTTCTTGAGAACCTTTCTAATCTAAACCTCTCCTGGAACAACTTGAGGCCATTTCCTCTTGCCCTTGTCAGTTGTTCCCTGGGAAAAGAGACCGACCCCCACCTCACTACAACCTCCTGTCAGCCTGAAGGCACAAAGTGCTGCCAGGGCCCCTGCAGGCCCTTGTGCCCTCAGAGCTGTCTGCAGACACAGCACACCCAGAGCTGGGCACCCACCAACGCTGCCCACAGGGCTCCTGCCTCTGTTTTGGCTTTGCCCTCAGCCCAGAGCTGCACACGGGGAGGGAGGGGAGAGCAGTGAGCACAGGGCTGCCAGGCAGCACCCCCGAGGCCACGGGAGGGGACAGCGTGAGGCACGGTGAGGCACGGAGGGGACAGGGCCTTCCACAGGCACAGCCTCGGGGGCGCTGCAGGAGCGGCTGAAGGAGACACGGACACCTCTCTGTCCCTGCACCAGTGAGACTTCAGCAGGAGGAGCCAGGCACAGCATGGGACTTGCAAACAGAGCAGGAGCAAGGAGAAAACAGAGCTTACAAAGAGGATCCTGAGCTGGGCAGAGGGGATGTACCCATTCAGAGCTCTGATGTGAAGGAGCCCAATCACACATACTGCTCCCTCCACCCTGTTCTGTGGCCAAAGTAACCCAGGTGAACAACCACAGGATCCCAGACTGGTTTGGGTGGAAAGGGACCTCAAAGCTCATCCAGTGCCACCCCTGCCATGGCAGGGACACCTCCCACTGTCCCAGGCTGCTCCCAGCCCCATCCAGCCTGGCCTTGAGCACTGCCAGGGATCCAGGGGCAGCCCCAGCTGCTCTGGGCACCCTGTGCCAGGGTCTGCCCACCCTCACAGGGAGCCCTCAGCACCACCCCCATGGGTCATTTGTAAAGAAGAAACAAGGAGGAAGCTGCAGGTAGCACCAGCTTAAAATGTGCAACAGCTCAACCCTCAGTGAGCTGCCCTTGTCCCCTCAGCTCCTGTGCTTGGTGTCACCCAGAGCTGTAACTCAAAATGCTGCATTTCAGTGCCAGAGCCCAGAGCAAGAACAGGATGGTCAGGAACAGCGTGGAGGCAGCAGAACTGCCATGGACAGCAAGGACAGACCCACAGCCAGGGAGTGAGGGCAGCCCTGCCCTGAGCAGAGTCCACTGCTCCTCAGGGTAACACAGAGTCCCATTACTGCACAGAACCCCAGTGCTCCACCAGAAACACAAACTCACACCTTCTGCTAACAAACAGCTCTCAAAGTCTCAGTGTAAATCACACAGATGATAAATAAAGTAGCTGCTGAACAACACACAAAGCCTGCACTAAGATTTGCCAGCAGGAACTGAAATGGAATAGAGGACCCTCATGGATGAAGAACTCAAGTGACACTATTAAAATTAGGACTAAAACTAAAATAAAGAGCAAGATAAGAACTTTGATTAACATTATTGCAGAAAGGAAAATATGCTTTTCCTCAAGCCTCTTCTCCTCCCATGCCACTTTCCTCAAGGCCTGCATCTGCATCTCAACAGAGCAGCTGTCTGTTGGAGAACGCAGGTCTGTCAAAGGGGATTTAATTGTTCTTAAAACCATGTTAGTTCACTTGAATTCAAGAGGGAAAAAAATAAAAAAAATCTGCCAATATAAAATGAATTCTGTTTCTGTTTCTACATTTTTGAATATGCTGAGTGCTGTCTTTGAAACAGGTTTGGCTTTGAAATTTTAAAATTATCTCTTATGTATCAAGACAGGAAACAAAAACAGTGACTTAGAAACAAAGCACTGGAATGACTCTTAAGAATTCTCATTTGTAGGTAGCTGAGAGGGAACTGAACACAGATGCTGAAATGGCAAATTCTTCTTCTGAGAACACATTTCAGTCCTTTGCAGAACTCCAGGAGACACAGGCACAGGACAGGATTTGTGTAGGCAAAGGCTCTGCTGCCCTGCTCCATGAGAGCCACCCCTTTGGCACGAGGGGGGATTTAACCTGCTGGAGGAGCTTATGCAGTGAGGATTCTCTGCCTAGCTCTGGATAAAGGCAATGAGCAGTGATGGACTCTGAGCTAGCACGGCACACTCCCTCTCTCCCTGTGGAAAGGAGCAATATGTACAATACACCCTGAGCCTCTGTGCTCCAGCCTTTGAGGGATGACTGTGTTTGTTGCAGTGAAATGATGGGGCTGTGGGAATGGGGAGCACTGAGAACCCTACAGACACACATTGGGGTCAGCACCAGGCAGCAGCACAGAATTTATTCTCTGCTTGCAGCGAGTCAAAGTGCCCAGCTTACCTGCGTGGGACTGCATGTGCTCCAGGAGATTGTTATAAAACTGGAACTGGATTCCACAAGCTCCACAGGTGTAAGGCTCTGTTTGGGAGAAATCAGTTCAGAAGAATTACACAGAGTCTGCAGGGAAGCAGCACAGGTGCATACCTCAGTGTGTAAGCTGTGGGCACAGTGAGCGGGGCAGGGCCTGGGCACGGCTCTGCCTGCTGGGCTGGGCTGGGCTGGGCTGGGCTGGGCTGGGCGCCTCCTCCTGCTGCACTTCACTGCCAGGGCACAGGCAGGGCACTACAGGAAGCCCCTGGTGCCATGCTGGGCATCTCAGGGTCCTGCACAGTTTTCTCCTGGAGGCTGCCCACTGGCCAGGGTGTGCTGGCCCAGGCTGCTGCAGCCTGCCTTGAGCGTGTCCCTGCTGGTTTGTGCCTGCTGGACTCATCTTCCATCCAGTTCTGTCCAATTCCAGTGTCTGCTGCCTGTCCTGAGTGAGACAAGGAGCACTGGGTTGTGACAAATGCTGTAGTCAGAGGCTGGGGGTGGAGCAGTGCCATGGGGGGACTCAGCTGGGGCTTTGGGGCTGTCACCAAGTGCAGGGACACCAGGGACCGGTGGGTGTCACGGGGCTGGGTGGCAGCAGGATGCCAGGGAAGCAGAGGTGGAGGGCAGGAAGCACAGGAACCAGGCCTGTGCCCGAAGGCTGAGAGCAGAGCAGGAGAGCCATGTGCCAGAGCAATATGGACGAGCTGGAGTGAGGAAAGAGCTGGGTGCAGAGCTCCCTGGTGAGCTGGAAGATACATTTAGCCCTGTTCTTGTTGAAAGTGCATTTCTTCCACTGAGTTAACCTAAAAGCAAATGTTTGCAGTTGCCTGTCTAAACAGTATCAGGAGAGTGCATGGTTGACAGATGTGATCCCAAACTACAGTGCTGAAATTTGGGAACACTGCAGTTTGCCTCTGTCCCTGCAGCACAGCAGCACTGCCACCTCTCACTGGGGCATTTTGTCCCGGAGCAGCAGAATGGACAAACATGTGGTATATGAACAATTGTGGATACAAATGCCTGGCACACACACGGAGCAGAGTCTATTGCTACAATATTTCAGAAGTCTAGATCTGAGTTTGAAGAGAAAAACATATTCTGTATCAATGAATAAACAGAAGCACCAGCACCCAGGACAGAAGAACCAAAACCCAGGGAAGCACAAGGCCGCCTATACCTTGTGAGAAGTCTATCTCAGAGAGAAAACCCCAGAATCCACCTCAAGGCTACAGGAATCCGTGAGGAAAAACATAAAAGAGAGCATGAGCAAGTCTGTATAAGCTGTACTTTTATGCTGTGAGGTCAAACCTTTCCCACAGAACCTGGAGCCTCTGGAATGATGGAGCCAGCTCTGCCTGGAGTTGTGCTCAATGCTTTAACTCACTGTGCCTGCTTATGATGCTGCTCCTGGGCTTGCTGCAGCATGGAAGTTTGGAAATTTGGTACTTAAGTAACTGTGCTTGTGGAAAAAAGAGAAGATTTGAACAACTGAGTGGCACATGGGGGTTTTAGTCCTTGGAATTAGCAGGGACTGGCTGTGGCTGCTGAAATCATCAGCAGTGAGGTAGCTGTGGTACAATGCCACAAGAGGTACAATGCAATCTAATTGTTTCCACTTGTTTTTAATTGTCAGAGAGGAGAAGCTCCCTGTGGGTGCAAACCATCCCTCTGGGGCTTGTATTTCAGTGCCAAAGACCTGTGTTACAGACACAGCTGTGCCTCTGCTGCTCATGGAGCCCAGACTGCTCAGATGGGAATGCCTCAAACTGAGGGGGCCCGGCTGCCCCTTCAAGGGTCAAAATTAACCTGTGAATATTCTAATGAAAGCATCCACACTTCTGAGAGCCTGCTGCCTGCTGCTGACAGGCCCCTGGCAGCTCACAAGAGCTGTGTGCCCCTCTCTCTCTGCCCCTCTGCTCTGCTGGAGCCCCTGCCCCTCCACCAGAGGGGAGGGCAGACCCTGCTGTACCTGTGGGTGCTGCCAGCCCAGGTGTCACCCCACGGTCCCCTGGACACTGGCAGCTCTCCTGTGCCAGCCCCACCTCAGCACACACCTGCACTCCCTTCTGCCCCCCTGCCTGCAGTGCAGAGGGGGAGGCAGAGGGGGAAGCCCCGCTCAGCACTGCAGGGCCAGGGCCCTTCTCTGCCCTGGGAGCAGGACTCCAGCACAGCACAGCCCTTCCTTCCCCAGCTCAGTCACAGCCTCAGCAGCAGGCAAACCCCCCATCAGCCAGCACTCTCCAAGCTGCACATCTCCCACACTCATTTTGCTCTCCTGTTGCACTCACACTTCCTTCTCAGCTCACTTTGTCTCCCTGAGCTGCTTCACCTCCCTCCTGCTGTATTCTCAGCTATTTTATCAGCACAAACCTGTGCTATTTTTCCAGCTCTCTCCTTGCCTGGCTCCCCCTCACCCCTGCCCAGTCCCTTCTGGGTTCTCCCATCTGCATCCAGCAGGCTGTGACCACCAAGGTCTCCACAGCTCTTCATCTCAAACTCCTCCCTTTGGCACCACAAATCTCTGGCTACTCAGTGCACTCAGTGAACTGGTAAAATCTCTCATTTGTGATTCTTCTCAGAAAAGCTGTGTTGATTTTCATCTCAATTCCAAAAGATACCCCTTCTGTTCTACTCCAGAAATGTCCAAATTTGGAAACAAAATCACCACCTATTTCAAAAGCTAATTTCATATTCTGAAAATGCCAAAGCATTTTCTAAATAATTCTGACACAAAGACATACAGAACTCTAAGTTTAAAACCGAGCCACGTTAAAAATAAGCATAAAATTTAAATTCACCCAACAATTCCAAAGTATTTCCTGGGAGCAGGGAAGGGATGCTTGGGAGGATGTGCAAAATCCCCATGGGAATGAATGAACTCACTTCACTTCCCAGAGCTCTCTCAACCCTCATCCTTCTGAGCTTTCAGCTCCTGAGCCCCTCATGCTCCAGAGTGCAGAGCTGGGAACAGTCAGGCTGGCTGGAGGGAGGGTGGGATGTGCCAGGGCTAGAAGAGGAAGAGGGATCTGGAAGGTGGAGAGAAGAAAGAGGCAATCTGTATCCCAGACCAGGGAAAAGTCTCTTCACCTGGGCTGGTAATCCAGTAAATCCTCCTCCCTTTGATTTCTCTTGACCATGAACTGGAAAAGTTGTCAAAACTGCTTTGCACACCCATCTGAGCCACACCTGTGCCCCATTCTCCTTCTCTCCCACCACTGCTGGACCTCTGCTTGTCCTTCCCCTGGGGATTTCAGCTCTTCCTTACTCAGCCTTAGGGATCTGCTCTCCTGCAGGTGGGCTGAGCTCAGCAAAGGCCCCCAGGTCTCCCCTTTTGCTCTCTGTCCTGCTCCCAGCTGCTGGTGGGACAAGGGAAGCCCCCTGTGCTTGTGGAGATGCTTTTTGAGAGCAGGTTTCAACCAGCAGCTGTTGAAACCTCTTCAGTGTCCTGAGCCACACAGAACTAATGCCCACATCTGGTTGCACAATTTAAAACATCTTTCCCCAAGGCTATAATTAGACCCTTTTAGCAGTGCTTTACCCAGTGAGCAAGGCCCCAGCTGTGTGAGGCAAGGCAGAGGAAAACCAGTGCCTGTGCTTGGGTTAAATAAATCACTCTAATTCCCATGTTAACTCTCATTGCCACATCTAAGCCAGGGAAAATAGCAGAGCCTGGTCTGAAGCCAGGAGTGAACAGGAGTTGAGAGATTTAACAGAAAGTTTCAGCACTGCCCTGAGGTGCTTGTGCAGTGACAGACACCCAGCAGGGTGTCACCATGGCTCAGCAGGGACAGCCCCCCAGGCTGCTCTTTCCTCAGCAGAAAAACCCCACATTTCAACACTTCTGTCCACATCTTGGTGAAAAACAAATGCAGAACAACTGTGAGGAAAACTTCTCAGCATTTCCACCCAATGTTTCCATTGGCTTTAGCTTTACTAACAGTGAATTGCACCTTCCCTTTGACACAAACCCACGAGACAAGGCAGGAGAACCAGCAGCAGGCTCCTACAAAAACACCAGCAGAGCCCAAAATCAGTGGAAGTTTCTTGAAAACAGACCTTCTGTCACTTCCAGCCACCTCAAACAGCATGAAGTACCAAGGTGCTCTGGAGTATGTTTGGAAAAGGGGAGTCCCAAATTCACCACCCTTGCCAAACATCTCAGTATTAATTGGATTTCTCTTCCTGCATGAACTCATTTTCTGAATACAGCCCTTGCTTCCCCCTCAGGTTTGTAAGAGGAGGAAGAACAGCTGTCCTCCTCCCCACCATGGCCACACTCAGGGCTGGCTCACACCACCAGGCTGGCACAAATCACCCCAAAGCCAGTGCCAGGAACCAAACACACTGCAAGGCAAAGGAAGAAGCTCCACCTGCTGAAACATCACAGCCACAGGGCAGAATCTGCGGCAGAGACCCCCCCTGTCCACCCATCCCAGCCCTGCTCACTCCCAGATTCCAATGCCAGGCCACAGGAACTGGCTCTGGGCAGGTGTTTACTGAGCTGAGCCCTCATCACAAGTTTTTCTGTGTGCAAATGTAACTTAAATATGGGGTCATTTTCAAATCTTGGTCTCAAAACACGCTCACAAAAAACTCCCTGAAGACTGAATATTAAGTGATTTGGCAGCCCCAGACTGCACAGAAACACCCTGGAGGGTTTCTGTTGTATTTAAATCTGACACCAGAGCCACAGAAGTGAGGCATTTTATTCTTTGCCACCTGGACTCATAATAAAAAAGCATTTATTGATGAAAATTGCTCAGAGGGCAGGGCAGTAGGGCTGCAGGAGGGCGGTCCCTGCCTTTTGCACCACAGACATCCATCACACTTACTTTGTAAAAGCGGGAAAGGATTTGAAATCAGGGGACTTGCGGTTTCTGCAAAAAAGAAAGAGATTTAAATATTGAGACTGGCAGAGACCTTGCTGCATTCTACACAGCTCTGCCCATCTGCTCCCTGCTCCTTATCCCTACTCCACACTTCCAGACTGATCCAGGGCAGGGCAGGATGGGAGCTCCATTCAACACAAAATCCAACATGTTCATTTTCTCTCCCTTGCCCCATTTCTCAGGGCCAGGGTTCTGCATCTTTCCTGTCCAATTTAAAATGTCCAGAGATTTTAACACACACCCAATGCTATAGCAATGGAAACAAGGGGAGAGGCCAGCAAAGAAAAGCCATGGGGCAAGAAACCCTTTACACAAAGGCTTTCTTTGATGCTCCAGATGCAAATTCCCAGTTTCACCATGCAGCTTCTTTAAACTAAAGCTGGGAGGGAAAACCAGGGTGTTTCACTCTCCCTGGATGCTAAAGGAGAGAGTTCCTAAGCAGTGCAGTTACTTCAGTCTGAGAATGCACATTTCCTATGCAGCACACCTTGCAGGTTGTCTTTCTGTAAAGTGTGACTGAAAACTGGGTGCTGGCTGCCCCTTGAGCAGCCAGGATTTGTCTGTATCCAGCCCCAGTGCCCTGGAGCAGAAGCAGTGATCCCAGCACCTCAGACCATGTGTGGTTTCCTACAGTCCCCAGGTGAGGTCCTTTAGGGTCAGACCCCTGCAGAAGGGCAGAAATCATTAATGATTAATGTTAAATATTTAGTCACAGACCCAGAGCATTTCTAGAAGGGTCCCAGTCCAAGGCTGTGAGCTGGCACATCCCTGACTGAAGCTCTCAGGGCTCTCTGACAGACCTGGCCTGGTTTCCTTGGAAGGAACACCACCCTCAGGAACTGCATGGGTCAAGCACAGTGAGCTAAACACCCCTGTGCTGAGGACCTGAGCTGCTGGAAAGGGCTCCAGGTGCCAGGGCCAGCCCCTAAGGAATGGAGATGAAGGCATGGATGATGCTGGGCACATGACTGGACAGTGCTGTGGAAAGGGCATGCATGGGAAACACCAGCTCACAGGGAATGCTGCTGATCACTGCACACACTGTGATCAGCCAGCAGGGCTCCAGCTGCTCCTGCAGCTGCTGAGCTTGGGACCTGGGGCAAGATCTTCACTGAAACACGTCCCTAACCAGGCCCTGCTGAGCAGCTGAGCAGGGCAGGCTCCCCCAGGCACCCTCCCCTCTGTGTGCTGGCTCCCTGCCCTGGAGGTGCCCTGCTCCCTCAGGGAACACACGTGTGCCCATGGCACTGCCCGGGGCTCCAGGCATTACAGGGCACCTGCAGCAGCACCTCAGCTTTTGAGGGACAAACCCCAACTTCACTGTCTCCCAGAGGAGAATCTGACCTGGAGCAGGCACAGAGCCCAGCGGTGGCACAGAGCACTTAAAGCAGCCCAAGGAATTCTCAGCACCACCTCTGGCTGCTCTCCAGCCAGAAGTGCTGACACAGTGTCCTCGTTCTGCTTGGCTTCCCACTCACATGGAAAGCACTGTCAGAATGAAACAGCACTTCAGGTACTCAATACAACACTGGTTTATGTGAAGGAAGACTCTTAGGGTTTTTCTGGTCTTCATATTTATAATTGGACAATTATTTTTATCCGTGCATTGCCAGGTCCCTGTTACAGCACAATCACTTCCACTAAAGCTACTTATCCAGGTAACAGTCACAGAAATGACAGAGTGTGACTGATTAATGATAAATCACCTGCACTAGGGCCTTGTAATCTTTCCCTCCACAGATTCTGCAGGCAAAATGAGAGTTCAGGCTTTTCTGTCCACACTTTGCTCTCCCAGGGACTGTCCTGGTCATGCCCTGCCCAGCCCCAGCCCAGTATCTGTTCTTGCAGACTGCAATCCTCAGCCCTGGCCCTGGCTGTGTGTCCCAGTTCTGCTGAGTGCTCCTTGCCTCAATGCTTTCACATGCATTGCCTCAGTTGCTCCCCAGTGTCCCAAGGCTCTGGAGCAGTTGGCAGGATATCACCCACAGAGACTGGCTGCTGAGTGGTTAGTTTAACCCAGATATATTTCTTCCTGTCTGCAAGCTGCCTGTTGAACATGAGAAGTCTGGAACAGCTTAAATGAATGTGGCACCAGAAATAAACAGTTCATTCCTAGAAACCTCAATTCCACACAAATGCTCACTGGACACAGTGACTTATTCATGCAACCAAGCAAAGCAACACTTTCTCAACTCAGCTCTCCCTGTGTGACTCTCATGCTCCTGGTGGGAACTGCACTCAGCTGCTGACTCCTTCTGGGCACAGCACCTCAGGCTGCTTTGAAAATGCAGCTCTGGCTATTTGTGCAACTGTGTCACCCCATCACCAGCATTCCCTGTGCTCACAGAACAACTCCCCCTTCTCCTTTTCCTCACTCCTCAGATTTGGCCATTGGCCCTCCCAGCTCCATGGAGACACGCAGCAGTCACAAACCAACCACAGATGGCAAAGAGAATTGCCAGATGAATGTTAATGGAAGTTGTATTTGTGCTGACAGAGCCTGAGAGGCAGCTGGGTGCACCTCAGGAGGCAGAGGCACGGGGGCTGGCTGTGCTAATGTCACACTGCAATCAGTAATCAAGAATTATTATGCCCCAAACACTAAAGCTGCACTCACCCACCAAAAATGCTATCCTAGAAGTGCTGTCTTTGCAGCAGAACCCCCCCACAGATGGGCTGTGCAATGGCTGGACTACAGGGGGTGAGTAGAATGAGTAGAAGGGGATGTATGGCCACACCAGGGAAGAAAGTGGTTTCTGAAAATCCATCTTTAAAATCTAGTCCTATGTCCTTTAAATCCTGACAACAGGAGATTCTCAGGCTTTTCCAAGAATTTTTACTCTATATCAAATGTAGAAAATCAAATCTTTTTGGTCTCAATCTCATCTGAGCTTGGCACAAACTGCTTTGAAAAAAGAAGACATTTCCATTGACCCTCTCCCCAGTCTGGAATAAACAGTGCTGGAAAGCAAAGCTTCCCTGTGTAAATAGGAATGAAAAATGTTGACATTTTAAAAACTCTAAATGCTAAAATTTGTTGCTCTGGAAGTTCTTACCGTAGTAGTTCCCTAAAGCAGCAGATGAAATTGAGACATATTTATACAGCTTAAATCAACCTTGAAAGTTCAAAATATTTCCCAATTCCCTACATAATTTTAACTGTTCTCTTTCACACCCGCAACATTGAGCAAATTCAGACTTCAACAAACACTGACAATTTCAATTAGATTTCCCCTTTGATAGCTGTATTTGAAGGTGTTGAAACTAAAGAGGTTTTTTTTCTCCTTTTTTGCTTTTCTTTTACTTCTTGGATTCTTACAATTCCCTTAATCCCTCTCGGCCTTCATTTCACAAAGGAGTCATCCCCAGTGCCCAAAACAAGGGCTCAAGTTGCATTAGGCTGTGAACACTTGAGTTAGAGATGGTTCTTGTCCCTGAGGAAGGTCACTGTCCCTGCCTGGAGGCAGAGGAAGGGAGACCCCAGAGCCTGGGAGCCCTGTGGTGACAGAGGGCACCAGAGCAGGGCCCAGCCCCAGCCAAGGCTCCTCTCAAGCACACATGGATGAAAAGGAAGGCAGTGATATCACTGTGGACACAACACTCAGCTCAGCCCCTTTCTGGGGCTTTCCCTACCCATGCCCAGGCTGATCATCACTGCCTTTTACATTGCACAGGCTGGCCTTGAAATATTGTTTGGTGTCTTGAGAATTTAAAACCCCAGCATGTGTCAAGAGTTGGCAGAATGGCCCCCACCAGGGAGGGTTCCCTTGAAAGCAGCTTTATGGTACCCTAAGGAATAACAGCTTCTGCTGTTCATCCCAGTGAGCCAATTCCATGCTTCAGGATCAGGTCATGGCACTGCTTTCTGGCCCTCCCTTAGCTCAGCAGTGGATTAACAGAAGCTCTGTGTGACTTGGGGCCTCTGCTGCCTGTGCTCCCCAGGCAGCAGAAGGGAGCAATTGGAACACTTTAGCAGGATGCTAGTTTTGAAGCACTGTGGATCTTTCAGGTTTCATCACAAAGCAAGTTCAAGAGGCTGTGGAGGCCCTTTTCCATGAGTACAAAGAGCACTCTCCAATCATAATGTGGAGGACAGCTCGAGACCCTCACCCAGTCCCTGCCTCCAGCCCACCCTGCTGGGAGACAGAGGTGGGACTCACCTCAGGCCCAAAGCAGAGTTTGGCACACAGCTCAGAGCTCTGGTTTATGGGCAGCCAGAGGCCAGGTCACACAGGTAAGGGTGCCAGGTACCTTCACTCACTGTGACAAGGACTGGGGTTGTGTGCATAGGGAAGAGACATCTGAAATCCAACATTTTCCATTCTAGTTCCATTCCTATTCCCACTCAGGACTCCCTACAGCATTGTGCCCCTGGGTATTTTAGGTGATTTTAGTTACTGATCTCCCCGTTTTGCCTGTCCTGCCCCTCACTCCAGACACCAAGGGATCTGTGCCACTGCAGTCAGGATGGTAACACAGGGAAAAAGCAGAATGTCCCCAGATGGGTGGCCTAAAATTCTCCTGCTGCTCTCTGGTATCTCTGTATCCAAGCCTGTGACACAAAGCTCACACCCACAGAGAGCAAGAGCCATCAGGCATTTAACAAGGCCAAGCCACACAGCTCTTGGCTGCTCAGCTGGGACCTAAATTTACCTCCCCAACCTGGTGACTGTTCCTTACAGCAGCTGTTTGGTGACAAGCAAACAGCAGATGGGAGTGGGAGGACAGAAGTGTCCATCCTTCTGTCATTGCCCACCACATTACCACCACCTGCTTCCCTGCCTGGGAGGAATCTGCTGGCTGGAGCACAAGAGAGGACAAGCCAATGGTGCCAGAATCACCCCAGAGTTCCCATCCCACATGTGACACTGAGCCACATGGGGTTTGTCACACCCACTTAGACACAGCCATGGAAAGAAGGAAAAGGAGGAGGCAAGGACATATCAGCTCTTCCAAAAGGCAGCTGCAGAGAGCTCTGCCTGGACAGCTGAGCACACAGAGCTCTCCAGGCCTCTCTGACCAGCAGTGACAAGCACAGTGACTGGTGATGCTCACCCAGGCTGCTGTCAGTGAGGCCAATGGGACTCCTGAGAACTGGAAGGAATAAGAGGAAAATGGCTTGGTGCAAGGGCTGGAAATGAGAGCACTGAATGGCAAGCAGCACAAAAACGGAGCCAAAGGGGGAAAACATGGCTAGGGAAGAAAAGAGGATGCAGGACAGATAAAGGAAGGAAAAAGGGAAAAGTTTATACATCCCCATTCACCAGCCTGGCTTTCAGGAACATGTCAACTCCTTACTGCAGAAAGCAACTACTTCCACCAGAGCCCAACTGCCCTCAGACCAGTCCTGGGCAGCTCACTAGAGTTCCTCAGGTTTCCTGCTCATTCAAAGGTCTAGGTGAGTGCCTTGCAACTCCTCTGCAGCCTGCCAGGCCCTCGACTGAGCCACTAAAATAAACTGACACTACACGTGGTGCAGACAGAAACACTCCTTACAGGGAAACAAGATGAGCAAATCACATGAAACTTGCTACTCAACTTGTAAGAATTCCTGGTTTTGTTTTGGTTTTTGCTGTGAACTTTCACTCATGTGCTTTAAATGTTGCAGTCCAGAAAGAAACAGATTGAGGAGGATGAGTGTGATGTGAGCTGGTACAAGGAGATGGCAGGGAGAGTTTGGGAGATGTGTCACAGCAACAGTGGGTCAGTATTTAATAGTTCAGAAAGAACTGAAGGCTTGGACTGTTCAGCACAGCCACTGTTTGTGTTTCTTGTCAGTGCCTCCTGGACAGGTTCATCTCCCCTCCTGCAAAACTTGACAAGAGCAGCCAGCAGGTTTCCAATGCAGCTTTCTTGGCTTCAGGAATGAGCTGTCTGATAGGAAGGAAGATATTTCTGCCCTTCCTTTGTTGGTTGCACAAGGTTTGACAGAAATAAAATAGGTACAATCTCAGGCTGCTACTTTCCAATGGCTCCAGAGGAGTCAGCCCCAAGTGGTGTATTGGCATTTAGAGATGTGCACTTAAAGGCTTTGAAACCCTTCAAACACTGACAGTACCCCCAGAAGACAAGACAACGAGCTGCTGAGAGGCCAGGGCCATGTCCAGAGCTGCAGCCAGGCTGGGAACTCTGGAACTCAGTGACTAAACTGCCTTGAGTCATGTCTGACAGCCAGGCTGGGCCCACTGACCAGGGCCTGGGCAGCCCCAAGGACTCCTGAGTGTCCAGCAGGAACAGGACTAAGGGCCTGAAACAGAGACAAGCTCACCTGATGGGTTCTGCTTACACCTCTTTTCTTTAGGTTTTTCTGTCCCCGAATGACCAGCTGCAATTGTGGTGAATGATGGATTAGTACAGGATTTTTCCCCAAAACACAACACACAGTATTTCAGCAACAAACAACCTTTTGCCCCATTTCCCATCACCCACTCTGCTACCACACATAGGTTTTCTAACACCACATCCCTGCTTATCAACATGGCTCCAGAAAGCCCCTTACTTGCTTCTGAGGCAGGTCTAACCCCCAACAGACACTGTGTAACCTGCTCCAGGGAGATATCCCACTCCTCACCTGCCCATTGCAGCCAGAGGCATTGCCAGCCCCAGCTACTCTGCTTCTCTTGGATGGGGAATGGAGGGAGGCCAGGCTTTTCTGCTGGCATGTTATTTATCTCTGCAGCAAGATGCTAAATTTATGTTTCATCTGGTCTGTCACTTCTGCTCCAGTTAGGAAGCATGGAGAATGGTAGTGGCCCACTGGAATACACAGGCCCGCTGGGCAATACACAGGCAGGATAAAAACCTTGCACAGAAAACTCTGTGGGTGGTGGATCTGAACATAATTGTCTAGGCCACTGGTTATGTTCAGTTACTACCACATGGACTTTACACTGCAAGGAAACTGCACAAGTGCAGGGGAATTTCATTCCTTCTAGCACACATATTTTGGTCTCATATACACACATCTGATTCACTGTGAGCTCCACAGAGTGACTGCAGAAACAGCTGGACTTTGGTTACAGTGACATTTAAATAAACTGTCATGCTCAGCATCACTGTAACCTGCAAACTGCTCTTCTATCCACAGACCTCAAACTTCTGCTGCTTGCAAATGCCTTTGTTTCACCAGGACTGTACTGATACACAGACACAGCACAAGTGCTGCTTGATCTCCATCCATCCTTTCTCCACATCTTGGCTCCCCTTTGAAAATCTATGTTCAAGTACCTGGTCCTTGGCAGCAGGAATCCCACATGGCCTGTTTGACAGGGCTGGGGTGCCAGGAGCCTGGGGAGGAGGGAGAATAAGGCACTACCCCAGGAGGGCTGGCTGCCTGTGAGCTTAAACAAGGTGCCCCATAATACATCAACATTCACTGAGCACAGCTGGGTCCTGCTTGGAGAGGAACATGGAAGCAGCAGGAAAGGGTGACCACACTTACCACTGGAGTTCTGGGAATTGCTGTTTGTTTCTTCAAAGTTGTTTTGCACTTTGCCTTCCACTCTTCTGCTGAAAGCACTTTCTGCTGGGTGGAGAACAGAGCAGGAATGGTGACTGGTCAACACTGATGCAGAACCAGGCAGACAGGAGGCAAGACATGCTCCTGTGCCACATAATCACAGACCCTGAGTACAGCAGAAAGGTCAAATACCTCATTTTGGAGGCAAATGGGCCAGATTCAGTGAAGGGATAACAGGTGGGTATTTTTCTTGAATGCCTTCTGGCTGAGGTGGCCTGGATTGGCTCTTAGGGAGCCCATGAACACCAGTCCTGACTGAACCAGAAAGGTCATGTCTTCCTCCCCTGCAAAAAAACCCAACCCTTATCTTACTCTTCCTTAAGGCAACAAGCAGCCCTTAACTCCTGTGAGCACAGGTGACCAGTCTGAGACTGGGCTCGGGGCCTCAGGACCACACCAAAGTGTCACCTACAGAAGCATTGTGCCAGCTTTCCCTGTGCTCCCAGCCACCTGCACTCCCTTCCTAAGCACCCTCCTGGAAATGTTGAAGCAGAGGCCTGAAGGATTGTCTCAGGGCCTGCCCACCATGTCTGGAAAAGCTCTGGAAGGTCCTCTGGCTCTGTGCTTCCCAACACTTCCCAACAGTGCCCTTGTTCCCTGAGACCCCCCCGCCCCGAGCTCCTGTCAGGGCCCTCTCTGCCCTCTCCAGCCACAGCACAGGGCAGTTCTCAGCGACTGCACTGGGAGGCTCCTCCAGAGCACCCAGGCACTTCCTGCCCCTGGCAGTGGCCACAAGGCCTGAGGCATCCCTGAAGCATCCCTGAAGCATCCCTGCACAGCACAGCCTGGGGTTCCCACCCTGCTCAAGCTCAGCACCAGCTCAACAGTACAAGGAGGTCCTGTCTCACTTCACAGGGTCTGCAATATCCAGGCAAATGGATTTACTGTGGTGGCTCAAAGGATAAACTAGAGATTAAACAGAAATGAACTGGCCAAAGCAATGTGTGTGTCCTGTGCTGGACAGGCCCTTGCCCTGCACTCTCATTCTGGAGCCCACTGTCACCCGAGAGCTTCACAGGGACACGGCCTGGCCTACACAAGTCTTCCATTCAGGAGTGATGGGGACTCCTGAAAAGTGCTGCCAGACCATGATTTTATTCCTGCAGACCACTGGAGGGGTCACAACTACTGTCAGGACTTGTCAGAGGCCCCGGGTTCCTGCAGCTCCCAGGGCTGCAGCGTGGCTCACACACGTGGGCTTTGGGGCTACCAGAGACCTGAACTGAAGGAAGAGCCCAGCCTGTGGATTTTGGCCCAGCCAGTCCTCAGTGGACCCTTCCAAGTCCTGAGCAGGCTTCTCAAACTCTCAATCAACTACACTCCTGACTCTTAAAATTCAAGAGAACAAGCAAACTTGGGAACCAAATCAACTGAAACAGAAACACATCAAACAGGGCTGAAAAGGAGCTGGAAACATTATCTACCTAGGCCACTTGAGAGATAAATAGTAGAAACAAAAGGCCTTAAATAACAGGAAAATCAGACAGTGACAAAATGGTTTGGGTCAACCCACCCCTCCCAAGAGACCCAGGTTCAAGTCCTGGCTTATGTCACAAGTGGAAGTGAGATGGAGGTCTCCAAAAACCTTTGTAAAGAATTTGCATGATGGTTTTGCCTTCATCCCTTAGCTTCCCCCCCAAAACCTCCCCCAGGTCTGGCAGTAAGAAAAATCTGGTTTAATGCACCTGCTTGGTCTTACTGTGCCCTTCCCACACTGAGAGGGCAGCTCACTCTGTTATCTCTCCTTGTATTGGAACCTTTTGAAAGTGAAGTAAAATTCTCTGTATGGACCAAGTCCTTGGCAGCTGTGGGTATGTGTTATCCAACAAAACCCATCCTCGTTCATCATCCATGGCCTCTCACACCACAGCCACCTCTCATACTCAGCATCAGTTCATGCCAGACATTCTAGGGGTGTTTAAACACCAACTGATTGACCAGCCCTTCTTCTGCACCCAGATGGGATCTCTATCCATCAATCCCACAAACTTAAGAGGTGCTTCCCAGTGGACTGCACATGGCACACTATGTTTCACACCCTATTTATTAACTGTTATTTTTCAGTAGTCTTTGCTTTCTTTCTTCTAATTTTTTTTTTAGGCTTGATCTTGTTCAGAAGGAGGAAACTGAGACAATGGGAGGATCAATCCTAACTTGCATTTTCTAACTCTTCAGTAATGGTTCTGTAATACTGATTTTTCTGTTTATCTCTCGGACGTTCCTGTGGGGAATAGAGCACTGTGAAAACACCTGGACTCCACTGCACTTCCAAAGGCACAGACCAAGCCCTGAGAACATCACCTTGAGGGAAACAAACACTAAATGCCAAACAGTGCTGAAAACCAAGCAAAAAATCCCCATTCCTGACAAGCCATTACACCAATCCTTGTCAGGAAGCACTTCTCAGTTTGTGACACCAGGATTTGAAACAGGGTCTTTTGCACCTTGTGGTTACCACGATGTTTAACAAAAACAACTTGTCACTGGGAAGGGATTAGAAAGGATCGAATCCCCTCAACTGCTGCTGGGGGCAGCTTCTCTGGGACAGTCATGGATGGAGCAGACGGCGGCCAGGACGGGTGAACAGGGCAGGACTGACACTGAGCAGCTCAGCAGGCTGAAGGGCACTTGGTACCTGTGATGGCCTTGCTTCCTGGGGATGCGGAATTGGGAGCGCGGAACATCTGGGCCTGGGAGGCGGGCGGGACGCCGGAGGGCGCGCGGTGCAGGAGGCTGGAGCAGCGGTTGATGGACGCCGGGGACTTTTTGCTGGACTGGCTCGTCTGTGTCTTCACTGCCACGAAGAGTGGAGATCGAGAGAACTCTGGATATGAACACTCAGAACTAGTGCCTGCACAGCCAGGGAGCTCCCAGAGCGGGGCCTGCTGCAGCTGCTGATCCACCGAGCCCCTGCGACAGAGCTGGGCTCCCCCCTGGGGAAGCTCCTTAGTTCCCCTGCAGTGGGCTCCTCTAACTGCCACAGGACCGACCCATTCCTGCTCCTGCAGGAATCACCCCATCCATCCAGGAGCACTGTGTGATTGCCATGGCCTGGCTGGGGGCACCTGCAGCTCTGGCCTCCACGTCTATGGACTGAATTTTGGGAACAGGTTTCTAAACTACTCAGATCTCTGAGTAGGGACAAGCTTTGTTTCTTGAGCCTTGAATAAATCCTAGTGATCTCCAGCTACATTCCTTGTCTCTTTGACCAAATACAAAGGAAAGGGCACTGTTGGGAATGGAATGGAATGGAATGGAATGGAATGGAATTAGGAGGCAGAGTGAATAAAGGCTTTTGGTCCCATCTCCAGACTGATGACATGTGGAGAAATTCTGATTATTACTGGGATATGCTCTTTGAATGCATTGATATTTTGGTCTCTGCAGCACACAGTGAGGATCACCAGGAATTGTCAATGCCAAAAGTCATCTAAAACACCTTCAGGAGGACAGCCCTTCATCTGGGCCACAGGGATTAAATAAACCATTGCAAAAATGGAGAAACTGTCTAAGAACCCCCTTCACTCATAAGGGGCCTCTTCTATGGGAATTTGGATATGGGTCCTGAAGCACCAGCCCCACTCCAACCACCTGTCATGAAAAATCACTAACAAAGAAGGTTCAACCAACCCACAGTCCCAGCTCCCTACCAGTGATTTCTACAGTGATACTGTGGGATGCCTTAAGGTGGAGGGACAACAGCAGCACCTGCACATCCTACACAGTGTGAGTGAGAAATACTCATCCACACTGAGCAGCTCTCAGGGGAATGCCATGGCAGCACCACAGCCTAACTCTGAAACAGGGGAGAAATCCCCTAGGCTGGGATGGGACACTCTTTTCCAAAATCCCAGGAGACTTCACAGACCTTGGCTGTGACTGGCTCTCACCTTCAGCAGCAGCACTGGGGACTGGGAGTGTGTACATTCACAGGGCATTGCAATTCCAGGGGTTTTGATTCACTTGCTCTGACATACAGCCCTACGCTGACATTTCCTCACATGTCAGTGTAGTTCTGCAGGAAATTATGCACTGGTTTTCTCACAGTTTAGTCAGGATACTTCTCTGCTTGGTCTCCAGCCAGATAAATAGGCAGAAGGCTTGTTTTGCTCTCTATGCTTCCTTTCAATCTCCATGGATAATCCTCCTCCAGCTGCTGCCAAACTGCCAGCAAAAATGTAGTCAGATATGAAAATTTCCAGCTTGTGGATCGTCTGCTTCCAATGAGGATCATTGCCACCAATGTCTGCTTTATTCCCCATCAATGCCATGAGAAACAGCCATCAGCTACTCTTCAGTGCCAGACACAGAGAGCATCACTGCACATCCTCTGCAGACCAGATACTGCTCTGAGATGTGACAATAAAAGTCTCAATGCTATGATGATCTCCAAAATGTCTTCTTCTTCCTCCCAAATGAAGCGAACAGTATGTCTTCAAACTGAGACCCCACAGAGAAGGCTGCTCCAGCTGACACTAGGCAGAGAGAGTTTTGAGCAGCAATGCAAGACATACAAAGGAACTTCAGTTCTAGCAGTCTGGAGGAAGCTAACAGTTCATTGCGAATAAAACGTTCAGTCTGTAGTTCATCAGATGCCAAATTCCTTCTGAAGGCTGAGCAACACAGGTAGAGAGCATCACATGGCTCCTCTGCTCTGCTCTGGAAAAGTCACCTTCACTGTGGAACTCAAGGCCTCAGGCTGATGAAAAGGCCAAGATGTTTATAAAAATGAAAATCCTGAGTGGCTGAATGGCCACAAAAAACCTCCTGCCTCAAAATCTGCGGCAAGACTGGAGACAGCACCATGGGCAGCTGATAACTGCTGCTGTGGAGCTTTTCAAACCCTCTCAGAAGGCAGCAGAGACCAACCCCAGTGGAAGCTGCAGTGATGTGGAGGGTGATTCTCACAGTCAGTCAGCTCAGGGCTTTGTGCTGCAGCCCTGCAGCATGGCCCAGGCTGGGCTGAAGGACACACCTGAGGCAGGAGATGCTGAGAACACTGGGGGCTCCAGCCTGGCAGCAGGAAAAGCTTGGTCACCGCTGTGCTCAGCTGCAGAGGAGATCCCAGGGGGATGCTGAAGAGGCTGAGGTGCTCTTTGGGGAGCAATCAGGAATTTCCAAGGGGATCAGGAAGGCAGTGCCAGCTCTCAGATCCTTCCTGACCCAGGGCTGGTGCCTGCCCTGCCCAAGGGTGGAGAACAGACTGGAGAACACTCAGAGGAGGAGACAAGAGGATGACCAAGGGCCAAGAACAGCAGAGCTTACAATGGAAACACAAGTCACTCCTGTGATTTAAGCAGGGCCTGGAGAGCAGGCTAGGCCAGCTCTATAAAGGACAGAAACTCAGTAACTTAGTCCTCCTCCTTCACTGAGCACACAAGGTTATAAATAGGACCCAGTGCTCAAAGCTACAGCTGGCTAATTTTAGTCTTAATTTAGTGGAGGCAATAATTCATCAAAATAATTACCTTATGTGATTGCTGCATTTTCTGTCACTCAAAAGCAAGATTAGATGTCTCTCTAAAGCATATCTGTGTGCAATTCAATCATGGCACTCCTACAGAATGTGTTTCTCCAGGCAGTCCAGAGATCACAGTGGTCCCTCCTGGCTTTCCTGCTTTTGGGGAGACCTTAAAGTTCTGTGATTGACAAGCTGTGGCAGCAAGGAGAAAATCTGGCCCACAAATCCACACACTACCACGATGCACCACCACAGTAGGGACCAGATTGTGTCAGCAACATTCCTTTTCCTTTTTCCAGGTAAAAATTCTGGTTAATAATTTGTGTATGGTATTTGTTTAGAAAGATCTAGTCAGGGAACCATTTTGAAAGTTCAGATGGAATTATATCATCACCTATGGAGAAAAAAACTGACTTCACTGAACGTGTTGGAAAATGTTTCCATAACAATGGCCTGAAATTCCATACTCTGAGCAAACACCTTGGCTATGGCAAACAGGTCTTTCCACAGGAAAACCCCTCTGCTCAAACCTATCAAATTTTTAATGTGTGTCTTTATACACCTGAACAGGTGGAGCCTGTTGCTAAAACACTGTGGGATCAAACTGGGAAAAGCACCTGAACTCACAGATTTCCCTCACTGAACTGGTGGAAGCAAAGAAACACCATCCAACTGGAATCTGGAGCTGTTTTTTTCCTGGCTACACAGGGTCTGTGTGGAAACCAGCTGTGCTACCAAAATGGCAGCTGCCTCACTGAAACACTGCATTTAAGCACTTTGGAGGAATAAATTGTATCCAGTGTGCATCCAATACAGAAAGGAACTGAGCAGCAAGCCTTGATGAACTGCCTTGAGCATCTCAGGTGTCAGGGTGGGTGTAGGTCCGTCTGTCCCCTGGAGAGCCAAGAATGATCCCAGGCATGGAAAGGCCCATCCCACAGACCCTGAGAGAAAAAGCCCCTACTCCTCACTCAGAAAAAGGAACCTTGGAAGGAGACATTTGGCATTAACAATTCCAGGGAAGCTCACAGCAGAGCTCTTTTCCAGACAGCAGCTATCCAGCAGCTCTGACCAGAAATTATCCTGCAAGATGCTATTGAAGCTGCAGGATATAATTCTTGTTTTACCCATTTTCAATGACTTTTCATTCATTATGACAGAAAACCAGAAACACAGGCTCTGGAAGGGAAGCTTGCACTCCAGCAGAGACCCAGACAGCTGAACTGGTGATGCTGAAGGGCTTTCCTCATCCATTCCCACTATGACTGAATTTTCAGCATTTGCCTTATACCAGAAGAATGAGATCAGGGTAAAGACACAGTTTCAGCTTTACTTAATCTGACTGCAAGGACCCAAGAAAAGCCAGCTGTGCTTTTCAAAAGTCAGGTGCTAACAGCTTCCTCACAGACCTTGGATTTTGGGAGGAACAGTCTGAGCAGCAGAAAGCTGTGAGATGTACTGGCCAGGCTCACCATGCCCTCTCCTATATCCTCATCAGGGTTAGTAGCTTGTCATTGTAAATCATAAATCTTACTGGTCATGGGAACTAGGAGAGGAAAACAGACTTAAAAAAAAAAAAAGGAAAAAGAAAAGTTTATGGGGAGGGGGTTAAACCTTATGAAAATACTGATCCTGAGTGTCCTCATAGCTAAAGATACTTGAAAGGACTGGAAACCCACCTGCACAGCTCAGGGCCTGCTGATCTAGCCTGCAGCAGGGGCAGCTTCTTTTCTTTTGCTGCAGAAATGATGGTGCAAGAATGGCCTCAAGCCCAGCACTCAGAACATGCCTCCTCCTCCAGAACTAGGGCAGGGCCTGGGGGGGCCACTGGAACTGTAGGGCCCCCAGAGAAACACAGCTGGGGTTTCTTTTCTGCTGGACTGGAACCAGCAGCTCAGCTATTACAATGGCTGGTTGGGAAGGTGGGAGACATCAGTGGCAATAAATGACCTTGAAATGGGAAGCACTGGGAAGGTAAGGATTAGCTAGAGCTGAGCAAAGCCCAGTGCTCACTGCACACTGCTCCTGAGCTCTCTGTAGGGGCAGCAGAGACCCCAGAGCCCTGCTGTCCAAGGGCTCCTCTGTGGCAGGAGATGGACCCACTGCTGGTCACCAGTGTTTTCACCCTGAAGGCTGAGAATACCTCAGTGAAGAGGTGGAGCTTCCATGGGCAGGCAACCACAGGAATAACTGCACTGAGTGCAATCAGAAGCACTGGGGCAGGTCCTTCAGCAGGTGGCAGATAACAAGATTAGCTTCGTGATGCTGATGCTGGACACGTATTTTATGCCCTGCACCTTCTACCATGGTCCATATAAAAAGAGAACCTGCTTGGCACCTGTCAAGAGCCACCAAACCTTAAAAGCAACAGTCTGGTGGAGCGTGTTCCCATAAACCCAAGGGTGCCTCACTAGAATCCCTTAAAACCCGATTCCTGGGGATTTTGGGGTGGACGCGCCCCCTGCCGGCTGCAGCTGCTGAGCTCGGCTCGTCCCTCATCCCATCCCTCATCCTCCTCTCCATCATCCCAAGCCCTGGAGCAGCACACCCCGGGCACCCAGCAAAGCTCAGGGGAGTGCTGGGAAGGGAGAAGGAAGTTCAGCTGTAAAGAACTTCTCTGCAGACTTTGAAAGTGCTCAAATCCAGCAGGTAGCAAAAATTTCTCTCAACATGTCTAGTCAAATTTTGCACTGAATTACACTGAACTGCTTGTTAAAGCCTCCTCCCCTCTGTGTGGGGAGTGCAGACCACAGTGCTGTGCAGTTTGTTGACAACTGCCTTGTCCTGAGCTCCCTGAAATAAATCATTTATTGAGTGTGATTCAGTAGCAAGCTGCTGAGGTCATTTAAGTGATTTTGAAACCAGTTTTATCTCACTGCTTGAAATAATTCCCCAGAAGCTCATAGAAAGATGCTTCTTCTCTAACATCTATGTTCAGTTATTATTTAGGGGAGTATAAAAATGTTGTGCATCTCTTCAGTTAAAAAAGAGCCTAAACCATCAACCCCACAAGGAACATGTGTAGAATTCCATGGGCTGGGGTAGGAGCCCAGAGACATTCCAGACCTAACAGTGTCCCTGCAAGAGGAGATCCCAGCTCAGCTTTACAGTGCTCAGCACATGATCTGTGTCCTGCCCACTGCAACCCCACAGCTCCAGGGGAAGGATCTCCAGGAGTGAAGCTCCCCAGAGCCCCGGAGGTGCCAGCCTGCAGAGGGCCAGCCCTGCAGCAATACTCACTGATGGGGGCGTGCAGAGCCACGTGCTCTTGGTAGGGAGTGTAGTACTTGTACTGCTTGCCACAGAACTCACAGGTGTAGTTGCCAGTTTCTGTGAAATGAACAAGGACAAAGGTCAGGAAGGAGGCCAGGCCTCTTACACAACTCCCAGTTTCTTTTTACAGAGAAACTGGTCAGGTCACACAAACATTCACACAAACATGCAAACTCCTGCATGTGGAACTTGCCTGCCTTGTAATCCACACATCCTTTTCCCAAGAAAGGAAACAATTCAAAACAGAGGGATGGACCATGCATAAAAAGTTCAGTAGAACTGAACAAGCTTCAGAAGATTACCCCAAAATTACAACAAGTAAGTGTGCAAAACAAGGGAGAGAATCCAGTTCTAAAGTCTGTATTACAGGTGACACAGTTCTGTCCTCTGGTTACAGAAGGTCCACGTGTGGACAACAGGAACAGTCAAACCAGGAAACAAACAGGTTCAAGTATTAGAGAACTTTTATTTGGGATTGTGGAGTTCTCTTGCAGGAGAAGGGGCTCTACTGGAGTAATGTGCTCATTCCTTCTTTGGGGATACTGGAAATAATGGAGTGTAACCACACACTGATACCTCCTCCTCTTGCCAGTGCTGGGAGTACAGAACTGGCAGCAAGCTGCAAGATGAAGGAAACTCCATGGATAATCAAATATTTCCAAAATGGAAAATTCAGGGAAATGCTTTGGCAAAACCTGGTGTTCTCTCTGTTTCTCTCTGCTCTGTTTGAGGACCTACCACAAAGGCAGTGTGAATGAATCACCTGCCAGCTCTCAGTGCACCTTCAAGCCCTCTCTCATCCCTGCCAGGCTGCTTTTCCCTGAACTCCCCTCCCCTTCTCTTTGCAGAGCTCTTGAGCAGAACACATCACAAGGCTGCAGTTCTTAGGGCCAGGGCTGTTGGTGTTTGATGCTCCTTTGAGCCTGAACATACCTGTGAGCATCCAAACCCCAAGCCTGCTATGTAACAGTGCTTCCTGCTTTCTCTAGAGGTACTGCAGCCAAGGGCAGTGAACTCCTGAGCTTTCCTTTTTATTTGACACAGTAGTGACTCTTACTTGGCCCAATCTTTTGGAAGGGTTCGGGCTCCTCCTCCTTCACCTCGTCGGCAGCAATGACGGCCTGGTCGTAGGGGTCTGCAAGAGAACAGAACCAGAGGACAGCTGACAACACCTCAGCTTTGCCTTCTACAGCTGCATGGGCACTGAATGCTCCTGCACCTGTAATCACATTTCCATCTGTAACAGGATTGGAAAACAGGAATGATAAACCAGTGACCCCTCTGTCTGACTTGTCCCTCCTCCTCTTCCTCAGGTGCCCCAGGATTACCCCTGCTCCCAGCCCACTAACAGGCCTTGTAGGAATTAATGCTTAAAAAATGCAGAGAAAAACTGAATGAACACATTGCAAAGTCTGATCCATATTTCCTGATTTTATTCCAGGGAATCTCCCCTCTAATGCTGCTGAACTGGCTGACAGTGGGCACAGCAATGCAGTCTGCAGGCACATCACCTACCAAATACCAGCCTGGGACTTCTACCAGCTAACAGCACAGCTAGCAACAAATCACAATCACAACCCAACCCACTTTAGAGAAGAATTTGGTGTATGCCTTGAACAATTTACAAGATCACCACAGACATGAAACACCTGCTTCTTTGTTGTCTGAAGCCTGACCAAGTGAATGTACAACAAAAGCCTGGTATCTGCTAGGGCTGGGCATCAACCTACTGGCTGTAGACACTGGGGAGGGAGAGAGGATGCTCCTGTCCCACTGCAATCCCTGACAAGACTCCTTTGACTCTTACCAGTTCAGAATCGACCTGCTGTGTCTGAACTACTGAATGCTTGAAAAGGTTTGTGAAATAAAGCACACAAAGGAGCTCAGCTTACCTGCCCGGTTTTCTGGGGCCCCTTCCACACTAAAAACTAACACAGAATAGAAGAAGGAGGGGAAGAAACAAAACAGAAATTAAATCCTCTTAAATGGTCTTGTTTTCCTCCTGCATTTCACACACTGCTGCAGCACATTTCAGCCCCACTGAACAAACCAGGCTTTGTGCCCCAGTCCCTCCTCTTCCCAGCAGCATCCTCACAGGACCTGGTTGAGCATGCCCAGCCCTAATTCACACAGATGCTCAAGGCCTTTGTTCTGACCCTGACACGGCCCCAGGTGGAGTTCAGGTGCACAGCTGCCTCACCCCTGCATGTGCTGAAACAGCAGCCCCAGGGAGGAGCTGGGACAGTCCTTGCACACTCATGGAACCCTTTCCAAGCTCTCCTGTGGCCCCTGGCAAAGTTCCCTGAGACATTTCTGACTGAGGCAGCCACATTCCCCTCACACTGACTGTCAGTGCCACTAATTTTCTTCTGGCTCCCACAGGAGGAAGGGAGCTGGCAGTGGTGCCCTGCAGGAGAACACTGGCTGTCCTCAGAGCATGTTCAGATGTCCACACTTCCCAGCTAAACACAACCATTTTTTTGGACAGCCATGTATTGTGAAAAGCACTTGCTTTTCTGAGACAGCCCAGCCATTCAAAACCTGCTGCTGTCCAGCTGCCTCTTTCTAGAACTCTCCTTAGCCAAGTGAGGAGCAGTACTGCCAGGCTTGCAGCACACACAGTGAAGGTCTGGAATATCTGTGGGCTCCCAGGTGAGGAGCTTTAGATATTCAGTAAGCAGGGGGCAAGCCAGCATGTTGATACTTCATTTACCCCAATGCAGAATAAAGAAACACTGCTTCTGGTAGTGGGTGTCTGCTTCTGTCCAGGTGTCACCAGCCTAGGCCACATCTACAGTCACCCTTTAAGGGCCACTGACTACTTCAGCAGCTCACTACCACAGTCATTAACAAAAATGAAAGTTCCCAACTCTGAAATCTGAAATAATTCACAGAGAAGTATGCTGGGAACAAACCTGTAAATTCAGAAACCAAAAAGCAACCAACTTCTTCCCAGCAAATAATCAGGCTGACCATTTACCTTGAGGTACTCAGTCCCAGGCTCTCCATCCTAACCATGACCCTCACTGCAGACCCACTGCAAGGTCCCTGGTCCCAGCACAGATGTTGTTTTTATGCACACAGAGAGAATCAGGCACAGCAAACTCCTCCCTGCAGTGCCTGTAGACTGTGCCTCCATGGCAAAGACAGGTGACCCGTGCAGTGCCACGTCCTGCACAGCACAGCACAGGCCACGTGCTCCTGCAGAGCCACATTTTGCTTCCCCAAAGACTTCTCAGCCTAGTTCAGGTGTCTGAGTGTCAAAACATTACTCACCATCCACGGCATGTAGGTCTCTGTGCTCTTGGAAGCAGCTATAGTATTTATATTTTTTCCCACAAATGTCACACGTGTACCTAAAATTGTCTGTAGGAAGAAGAAAACAGACCAGTTTAGAAACTCTGAGGTGAAAGGCAAGCACTGCAACCACACTGGTCAATCAGACACCCCCATGCACTGACACATCCCACGTGCTCTGTCAGGTCTCTAAGGCACACAGACAACCACTGCCTCACACTGTTCCCCCTGCCCCACACGATATGGCTTGGAGCATATTCTGATTTATTTCCTCTTCAGACAGCTCTGCTCTCCAGGGCAGACCCCACAGACCTCACAGCAATGAGGTTGCAGGGCAGCAGGCCCTGCTGGCATCTCCTTTGGAAGTTCAGGGAGAAGCAGCTGTAGGTCAGGACTGGGACAAAGGGGCAGAACTAAGCACAGAACCAATGTATGAGCACACACCTGCTTCTCACTGCTGCTCTTTACTGACTCCCAACTGCACCCAGGATCTGTCAGAACCAAGGAACCCAGGAGACCCAACAACCCAAGGCAGGCAGGACAGTAAGGTGCTCAGTGAAGGGAGGGCTGGTGAAGCTTGGCTTCATATCCATTTGTTCCCTACACCCCATCACTTCATCCCAGCATCAACCAACCCTTCACCACAGCTGTGTGGGGCAGACAGATGTAAAACAGCTCCAAATGTTTATGGATCTGGTTTGTTCTGAATGGGGATCGGTGTCTTTAGCTCAGCTATCACATCAGTGCATGAGGAGGATTTCCTGGCCAGCCTGGTGGAGTGTTTCCCCTCTCTGCTGCCTGACACACTCTGGGGTGCCTTTCCTGAGCAGTCACCCCACCTGTCAGACAACCCCAGGACAATGGCTTGGTGCTATGAGCCCACAGCAAAGTGGCAAACATCATAAAGTCCATGGCAAACACAGTGAAACACATCATTTGTACAGCCACAAAGGATCCTGAAACCTGTGTGTTTCCTTCCCAGCAGGAGCAAGGAGTGCAGGCAGCAGCTCCCAGGGCTCCACAGAGGACCTGCCATTCAGGGAGCTCCCCTGCAGCAGTGCAGTTGTATCCATGTATTCCCACTATCAGCAGAGTTAAAGCCTTGTTTTTACCTCTTCCATCCTGTGTTCCAACACACCAGACTGTGCACATTAAGTAAGCTCTCATTTTATTTCTCCATCACTTTACTTTTAGAATCACTCCCTATTTTAAGCTATGATATATTGGTACAGTGTAATCACTCACTTGGGTTCACTGCTCAGTCCAGAGCACATGGGGTTCAGCACTAAATAAAGGATCACTGTCACCCTTTATTCAGAGTGACTGGAGAAGCTGTGATGATCTAGCAGAGAAAATTGCCAAATCTAAACGGTGTTAAACACCTGGGCACCGGAACTTTACCTCTGTGACTAAAAAATATTTGTATCTTAATCAGAGCACTGCAGGGCTAAACTAGAGTTAAGGGGTTTTTAGAAGTCTAGGCTGGACAAGCAAGGAGAAAGGGACTCTGCACAAACAGCATGGCTTGAGGGAGAGGAGGAGGAGCAGCAGAACACACCTGTAAGAACATTCCAGTGTCAAAAGCACTGGCAAGGCACATTTAACTGTGTTTGTTCCATTATGTGATCTTGTGCAGGCTCCTTGTGTGGTCACAAAACAGTGCTGAGGGCCTCCCTCTTCCCTGGGCCCTGTCCCACAATGAAGAGGATCAATGATTGCTGCTATCTGTGCAGCTGTTGCAAAAACCCCCCAGACAATTAGCACAGTCAATTAGCAGAGAAACTCCTAACTTGGCATCAGTCCCACCTCGATGGGTGTCCCCAAACCAAGGAACCAACCTCCTTTTTGAAGTGCAATGAGCTCTACAGGACCAACAGAAGATTAACTCTCCAAAGCAGTCCCAAAGAGCAGGCACTTTCATGTTCAGAGAACAAAAACTATTATGGCCTTAGTTTGGAAGAAAAGAGCTCAGTAAATAGTAAGGCTTGTTAGAAGAAAACTAAACTAACATTTCACAGGGCCAGGCATGGCTACCTGTGGTCCCTGTCACACACAGGGATCTTACTGTCCCCAGCAGAGCCCATGCTGGCTGTGGGCACTTCTCCCCTTGGCAGTGCAGGGAACATGGAACATGTAACAAGTGCCAACAGCACAGCCCAGAGAAGAGGGGTTTGCTGGTGTTGTTAGGGGACTGTCCCCACAGGCAGGGATTACAGAGAAGTAAGAATTTGTTCCAGCTGGTCCAGCTTGGCACTGATCTCCTGGGCTCTGCAGGAGAGAACACCCAGCAAGCAGTGCCCAGAGACAGGAGCCTTACAGAGAATTCACAAAGAGCTGCCCATGTGCAGCCCAGCTTTACCTCTCTGAACAGCAGTCCCTGCTGAGGCTGCTCCCAAGAGCCAGGCCCCCTCCTCCTCACCCAGTACAGCCTTCTCTGCTGACAGCCTTCCAACACACCCAGCACTGACCCAGCAGACACTGCTTGCTTAGCCAGAACCTCCCTGGGCAGAACCACCTCCCTGCAGTACCACTTAGAATCACAGAATCCCCTGGGCTGGAAGGGACCCACAAGGATCAGACACCCCAACAATCTCAGAGCATTGTCCAAATGCTTCTTGAGTTCTGTCAGGCTGTGCTCACAGGGAAGCTGTTCCAGGGCAGTTTTCCTGCTGTGGGTTATAACTCCAACCCCAAGGTATCCAGCTGGGGCACAATATCCAGCACCTGTAACACAGCTTGCCATGGGAAGAGCTGCAAGGGACTCCAGGTGCTCAGGTGTGACTGCAAACCCACACTGAAACCATCCCTAAACCTCTGCACAGGTGGATCCAGACAGCTCATGCTACCAAGGCAAGTTTGCTCAAAGTCTCTGCTGTCATCAGGGGCTGCACCTTAAGGCTCCACCCAAAACACAACGACACCAGCAGGTGCTATTAGGGCAGGGAAGGACACTCCTCAGCCCCCAGCACATGCTGGCCCTTCCTGGTATTCAAATCCTTGCTGCCAGCTGAGCAATGACCCTGCTGCAAACACAGACCTTCAAAAGCTCCAAAGACATCTGCTCAAACCCCAGACTCAAGTATCACTCTCCTTCATGCTCAGGAGCCTTTCCAACAGCAGCAGGGATTCCAGAGAGAGGTCTAGTGAGTACCAGCTGTACTTATTTAGTCAGCTCACAGTTCATCTTTAATACACAGCCAAAACAGAGCACCTTATCTTGCTAGCAGTAGAAAAGGCAAGGCACAGCCTCATTACAAGGCAGGTCCTCAGCTATGAAGGACTGGCACACTCAGATGGCAAATGAGCAGGTTTTTCAAGTACCCCAGGAAATAACTCCATGGGGACTGAAAGAAGTTTTGACCACTCTGCTTGCAAGTGGATCCCAATAAAAGAGAGAATGAGCTGCTCCTCTCTCCCATCTCCAGGAGCTGCTGCCAGCTGGCTCTGGTGGTGTGTCCAGCACTCACTGGGACTGGCTGAACTCCCTGCCCCAGGGCTGAGCTCAGCTCTCTTCCCAGCAGATCCTGTATTCAAAATCTGAAGAATTTTTGTTGGTTTGATTCACATATTCCCCAGAGAAGGAAGCACATATTTCATTTTGGCAGGAAAGAGAAGGCAGAGAACACATGCCCAGCAGTGGCAGCCAAAACAAGACACTTCTTTCCTTAGGACACTTGGCCTCAGTGGATTTTGCTTTAGAAATTCAGGAAGGGAATAAGAGCAATCAGAAATGTGTTGAAAGGTCAGGAGCCCTGTATCACTAAAAACACAGCTAGAAACACAGATCACCTAAGCCACCCTCTAAGTGCAGGAATACCACAAAAGCTGGGTACACACTGAGCCCACTGGGCTCCAAGAGCTCTGCACAGCATCCCAGAAACCCAGACTGGAAACATCCATCCAGCTGGCATCCCTGCAGTGCTGCCAGCGCAGCCCATGAAGGGTCCCAAACGATGGGCTCTCCCCACAGCAGCTGCAGGAGCTCCTCAAGGACCTGTCCAAGGTGAAGAACAATTTCCACTGGGCCCAGAGTTCACACTGAGCTTTCAAATGGCAGAAGCCACAAAAGGTACTTGATAGAGGAGCTCTCAGCAGCTGGCACCCTGCACACACCCTGGAATCCCATTGATCCTCCTCTGGCAGAGCACTACAGGGACTGCAGTCTAGCAGGGACAGTCTCCACATGTGGAAGGGCAAAACTGCTGGATGCAAACAGATCACAACAGCCTGATGAATTCTTCCTAACATCCAGAAATGCTGCAGGTCCCAGTCAGGATAAACTCAGGAAGATTAGAAGAGGGCAGTCTGGACAGCACTGCTTGTCCTGCTCCATGAGCAGGGTGGCTCCTTTGCACCAGCAGGTTTGGGAATGGCAAAGGAAGCACCCAACATAAGGAATTCTATTCTAAATCCTACATTCTATGACAATTTCACATAACTCATTCACCTTGACAAACAAGGTTTCCCAAACATAAAGTCCAAGAGCAGCACTTAAAGGGGAGGGGCTGGATTTCTTACAGCTGCATTACATTTATGTCACCTCTCTATTTGAGGCTGTGATGTTTCTGGCCCCAAAAAGGCTTTCTGAGTGGGGTTTGAGTGACCACAAAGGATCAGCATCATCCCTCCAGCTTTGGCCAGTGGATCACAGGACAGTCGATGACTTGCTCTGATCCTTGGTTTCACATTCCTTGTTTCCTGAAAATCTGCTGGCAGATGCTCAAGTTCTGCTGATGACAAACCCAGAGGGCTGGAGCTGGGGAATGGCTCTGTGGCAGTACCTGGAGAAAACATCACCTTTCCTGGGATATCTGCCTCACTGGAAGGAACCATGAGCAACACCAGCACTCTTCAGGAAGAGCCAGTCCCCATGACTAATCCACCTGATGCAAAGAAACAGGAAAGGATGGCATTTTCTGAGGACCATGCTGCATGCTTCCCACTGGGAAACACCTCTCCAAGCTGTGTCCAGGGCACACTCTACCTGAGCAGCCTCCCTGGAAGACCCAGAGTGCAGCTAATGCTTCCTTACAACACATCAGGGAAAAAACAAAACATCTGGGACCCTC